GTGACTTTTCCTGTGCTTTTGCTGGGAAGAAAGTGGCTGGGGAAGGTGCAGAGACTCAGGCTTGTATCTGTCCCACAGCAGATTCAGCTTGTCAGAGGGGTCAGCGGCATGATCCTGGTGAAGGAAGGGCCATGGCTCTTCTGCATGTGGCATTTCTTGTTTCTGGTTGTGTGTGATGGGTCCAGCTCTTACTAATCAGATTGCAGAGTGGTGGGATACTTGGATCCTCTTTTCTTCCCTGTCTCCTCTGGTATACTGTGAGGCTGTCTAAATGTCAGGGATGCTGGTGATTTGGCTGTGATGGGAGCGAATTTTAATGAAGCTTGCTCTTCAGCATGAATGTATTGGTGTAGCATGTCATGTAGCCTGTCAGTCAGCCAAGTTTCTAGCTTTCAGCTGCTTTATATGCATATTTCGGAGATTGCTTCCAACCTGGGAAAGCCCAGTCAGGTCACTGCAGGGCAAGGCAGAGCTGTATTCCCATACCCACCTAATGCTGACACTGCTTTCCTGCCCCTCAAGGATCAGAAGGAATCCATGGGAATCGCTGTCTTCTGGCTCCTGCTTCTATTTGGGGTGGCTGTTGCAAAGGCAGGCTGGGCTTACTCATCTGCCTTCAATGCAGCCACACAAAGCCTCTTTCGAGGAAGGGAATTCATTAGTTTTGTGAAGTGGCCTTGGATCTGTGGGCAGCAGGTGCTTCTATAGAGCAAACTGTTGCTGAATATTCAACAGTTGCTATACAAGCGTCTGGCCGGCTGCCTCTGAAGCACTTGGAGTTATCTTGAGCATCCGATTGGATGAAGTGCAAACCACTTAGGGCTTTAAAGATACCCGCAGCTATGTTGTGTTGGTGGTGTTTTAACGTTCAGGGTTGGGTTTTCTTTTTATGAGAATCTCCCAAGATCATAAGCAGCAGCTTTATCTCTTGACTCAGCCAACAAAGAAGGGAGCTGCCTAGGAGAATGACAACGCCAGTGATTCATATTCAAGTCGTCAGAACCTCATTCTCTTGCTGGTTTCTGCTAATGACATGTGCACTGGAAACAAATGACTCAGGCTAGAAGTGTCTATTCATCTTTAAACTTCTTAAACTCTCCTTCATCTCAAGTTAGCTCTCTTGAGGCTACCTGAATAACACTTGTTCTTGCCAACCTCTAATTTGGTACAAGAAATACTGTAGATATCTAAACTATGAAGGAATAATTTGAGAGGCTAATGTGTGCAATCAGCCTTTTCCTTTTTTTTTGTCAGTTTAATTTCCTTAGGTGTGGTTTGTAAGCAGCTTGTGCTAGATGTCATCATTGGAAGTCTGGTTCTGTGAGAAGCTATGATCACTGAACAATTACAGCTTCAAATAACTTACAGCTTTACTCAGTAAGGTGTGGATGCCTGTATATTGTTTACCAGTAGCATAGCCCAATTCTGTTGTCTTGTAATAGCTTACTTAAACCTGTATCAGTTTTTTTAAAGATACTTTGTCTGTGTTCTACTACTGATTATTTAGGCCTCAGAAGGAAAAGTTTAATTAAATATGTGATTGTGACAGTGGCACTGGAGGCTGGTTTCACCCAGGGAGCTGAAGAGATACCAGGGTGGTGTTACATGAGTTCTGTGCTTTAAGGGATCTGCACGAGGGGTCCCCATGTGCCAGGAATATTGTATTTTCAGGGACAGGGGTTCCACACCCCTGAGCTCTCAAAGCTCAGTGATGGAGAGTGTCGTTCCTGCCCACAGGAAGCAGGCATGCAGGCTGGAGCACGGTGGCTGTCGCTGATCCTGGCTGCTGTGCATTGCCTGAAATTGTGTTAGCACCGATTGGAGGTGGACCTTGAGCACTTAAACGCGGGAATTGACAGCTGCTGGGGCTGAGCCCTCCTGCTCCCGGCAAGGTCATTCGTGGTGCTGCTGGCTTTGAAAGGGCTGGGGTCTTCAGTGTGTGATTTGGCTGCCGGGTGCTCAGGGAGATGCTGAGATGTGCTTCCTAAACATCCACTTCGTTGGCATCGGGCGGTGGGGTCGGGCCGGGTTTGTCAAGGGGGCCTTGGCAACCTGGGATGTGGCATCCGCTCTCCCTGTGTGGGGCAGCAGCTGCGGGCAGCCCCTCCAAGGAGCTCGGCTGGCCCCTGTTCTCCATTTATCCGGTCCCCATCAGTCCCTGAGCTCCCCCTGCTCGAGGATGGGATCAGCAGAAAGGAAGACCTGCTTCCAGGAGGGATTCCAAGTCTGGCAGTGAGGCATTTCAGAAGCTGTAAAGCAGGTGTTGAGGCATATAATGGACCATCACCTCCAAAAACTGATTTAATTATTCCTTTTTTTTTTTTTGTCCCGAGATGGCTTTAAAGTGCTGGAATAGAGGAATTACACTTTGGAAAAGAATCCCTGGCATTGAGCAGGCTGTGGACAGTGGCGTGTGTGCTGTAGTGTAGATCAGCTCTCCATAAAAGTAAACATGTGAAGGTTGCCAGAAAGGGACAGAGGAGAAGTGAGGCCTCAGCCCATAGAGATGACACTGCACATTTAATTGCTAATGGACGTGTGAAGGTTGCCAGAAAGGGACAGAGAGGAGAAGTGAGGCCTCTGCCCATAGAGATGACACTGCACATTTAATTGCTAATGGACTCTTCAAAAAGCACCTCAGCTGCTATTATTAGAACAAGCAAATGTGTGGTGTTACCTACAGGGAGCAAAAAGGGAGTCTTTCTTGATCTTCTTGACCTTTACTTTCTTGTGTTAATTTGTTTAATACTAGAGAGATTTTCCTGCTGTAAAAACTTGCTTAAGCAGAGGCTTCTCCAAGATCTCTGAAAAAGACATGCTTTGGGAGCTTCAGGGATCCACTGTGTACTGCTTGCCCCTCTCTTTCCCTCCTGGATCAGACTTTTACCAGCTGGTGCAATTCCATAATAGCAGTCAGGCTTCATTGTATTAAACTTGTTAAGAAAATAATGTCTGTGCCTGCGGGGCTCGGTGTGGGGGAGGAAACTTGGGGAAAATGTTAGATAAATAAACACTTCTGGGTACTTCTGAAACATGGTAATTGCTCTTAGCAATCTTTGCTTTTTCAACACCTACTAAAAAGGACTTACTGCTTGTGCTGTTTGTAGGTCCCAAGGTAATTTGCACAGAGCAGCAGTGGCGCTGCCCCTGCTGGCTTTGGGAGGGTGCGGGTCAGGTGTGCTAAAGAAGCCGGGGCTGAGGCAGGGCAGGTTCCAGGGCTGCTGTCTGACTGCCCGAGCCGGGCTCGCTGGGGATGAGGAGCTGTGGCTCAGAGCTGTAAATGTGATTGCACGAGGCAGCGTGGCTTCAATAAGAACTGTGTGGTATAGACCAAGGATAAATCCTTTGGAACACCTCTCGGGGCAATACTTCAGGAAAGTTTCAGGCATAATAAAGCTGACACAGAGAAGTGGGAAAAGGCTTTTTGAATAGTGCCAGGTGTTTCACTGATATTGCTTGTTAATCTGGAAGGCTTGTTGAAAGCTCAGCTAGAAAAGCATCCAGGTGTCTGCTCTGAGTGTGTACCTGGAGTTTCAAACACAGCAGGCAGTGCTGTTCTTTTCCCTGCTGGGGTATTCATTAGTTAATGAGATTTGAGCAGGTGGGGTTGTTTGGAATTTCTTCAGCCTCCATATGCTAGGAGATTTCAGAGTTATATAAATTGGTATTTTGGGAAAAAGGCGGATGGTGAGACCTGCATTTCTAATAGGAGTTTCTGCAAATCTTGAAAAGCTGCAGTTTCTGCCTGACTCTTTTCCTGTTGAAGTGGAAAAGACAATTGGTGTCATCAGCACAGAATATCACTGTTCTGCAAAAGCGGGTTTGAGCCTCCTTGGCTCCAGCAGAAGAGTGTCCAGAGGCTTTGGGGTGGACTTGAAGCTGAGTGGTGCCACTGGGCCAGTGTCCCAGCAGATGTGCTCAGCAGCAGGGCAGGGAGTGCTTGTGATATAGTGCCAGTGCCTTGGGATTCCTGGGTGGCATGACAGTTGTGCCTAAACGTGAGGTATATCCCTGAATGAAATGCTCCATTCCTTGTGCCAGTGAACTCAGCTTTAAAAGCTTCACTTGCTAGCAGTAGCTCAATGGTCAGGCTGCCTGTGGAGCTTCCAGATGAGCTTTGGAGTAGAGCTCTGAGTCAGGACTTGCTCTGCAGCTCTGAGTTATTTGTGTCATGCTGGATGGGAATTGTCAAAGTTGCATTGTGTGGCTGCTTATCAAAGGATAGAGTAAAATCTTAGCCTTTATTTTTTCAATTAAGAATTTTTATTTGTGCCTCAGGGACAAGCAAATAGAACCCAGCTTGTCTTGGCTGTTCTTAGTATTTGTGGGGCAGGAAGGGGGGGGAGAGGACAGACAGCAAGAGCAAGGAGTTGCAGTAATGAGAATGATGTCTTATTTTAGTTGATATTTAATCAAGACATGTGGTTCCAGGAAGCAGGAAGAGATGATTTTGTCCTTTTTTTTCCTGCTCTCATATATCTTTGATTATCACCAAGACTTACCCTAAACAATTTAATGCCTGCCAATTCCTTTTTCATCTTACAAATTTTTTTCCATCCTCAAAGGCAGGGTGAACTGTTGGGCTTATCTGGTTTGCTTTTGTTTAATCTGTAATATTAACTAGAGGACTAACTCTTGGTGGCTAATACATTACCATCTCTCAAAAGATGCCTAGTTTTGTTACAAAACTTCGAGGATATTTATTACTTCAAGTACATTTCGTTAGTGAATTAGGGTAAAGCTGACTGAATTTTATAGCTGGGTGGTGTGTCCTTCTCTCCTGTGAAGTCAGAGGCAGTACACGAGCCCCTCTGGAACGTACTGCTTTATTGGCTTGTAGGAGCTGGCTTTGTAAAGCAGGTCAGCTTTTTGTTTCATGGCTTTTATTCAGTATCAGTCTTGCTTACCAGGGCATCAGAGAGTGTCTTGTTGCTTCTCGTGTGTCTGCTGAATTGCCTTCAGGGTTGATCTGACCTGACTCCCGATTTTCCTCGTGCCAGGGCGGTGAAATCCAGGACTGTGCCTACCTGGACAGCGAAAGCACCTACAGCGAGTCGGAGCTGTTTCCTGATGAGGACGCGATGACTCTGGCACAGCAGGAGGTTCACCATGAGTCTGACATGGACAGTGCCATTGAGAGCGCCCAGAGCTCCGAGGCCTCGGACGTCTGTCGCAGCGAGGACAAGGACGGCGTGCTCGGTGGCCTCTTCCTGCCCGGTGACAAGTGAGTGGTGCCAGCTCCGCTCCAAGGCACGTGCCGGGGAGGAAGGAGCCTTCATGTGGCTAATCCCTACTGGGGAGGCTGAGGGTGGCTGATGGATTTAGAAACTCTTAACATCCCTTTACAACATAAGGGGGACGGATGTCCAGGTCCTCTAAGTGGCTTAGATAGTCTCAGTCCTGGCTCCTTCTGGCACGTTCTGTGAGCACTCACAGGACTTGCATGTTGTGTGTTGAAGTGAAAGCATCGGGTCTCTCCAGAACAGATCACTGCAATAGCATCCCCCAAAACATAGGTTCTTCTCTGTTGCCATAAGCTTTATATGCTGGAATTAAAACAGTATTTCCTGCAAAGCAGTTTAGTATGGGGAATACTGCTGCAGTCTTTTGTACATCTAGTTGTGTACCTGGTGTTGTGGGCTCTGCTGATTTGCTTTGCAAATTCATGTACCAAGTTAATTCTTTGTGTTTCTAATTTTCCATAGCCTTTATTGTGCAACAGTAAATTGTGTTTAACACGGGGTGTCCTGGCATGTGTGTGTGTAACCATAGTTTGCTGTTAACACCAGTGTCTCTCTAACCCTAACTTCACTCTTCCCAGGTGTGTACCTGGGAGCGCTGGTTAAAGATGATTGTGGGGGAAAAGAACCTAATTTGGCTTAATCCTGCTTTGAACTGAATTAATGCAGTTACCACCAGACAGAGCTCAGCTGGGCTTGCTTTGTAAGCCTCTGCCTTGTCTTCCCTATTTTTGGCCTGTCATCTTGATTTGTGCCTCTTGAGCTTTGTTCGTTGCTAAGGCAGCCTTTCTTCTCTCTCCCGGGCCTCCTCCAGTGCTCCCTGTGCTGCCTCGTTCCTGCCCTCCTCCTGAATTTCTCAGCTGGCTGAGTTTTGGCCTTCTCCCATCTGCCCAAGCAACCTCAGAGACTTTATCAAGATAATTACAGTTTCCATCGGCTCTTTAGCAAGCTTGTCTCCTTTGCTTGCCGTTCCCAGTTCTCCAAAGCCCCATCCTTGTGGTGACTGACTTTTTCCCATGCTGTGTTTGAAATGTTTTTCCTCCCAGCTGTGCCAGTCAGGCTCTTTTGAAGGGGGTGGGCAAGGCATTGTGCTTCCTCTACCCTCCTTCTAGGGCAGGCAGGAGCTACCAAGAGCTACTGTGCTCTGATAGACCTTGATTTATCCTCTGAGACCTCCTCAGCTTTGGTAAATCTGTGGGGGGAATGCATGAGAAGCTTAATGCTTCTGTGTTAAAAGAGGCACTAGAGCTATTCACTTTGGGCAGTAGAGAGATTTACTTTGTTGCTTGCTGAAGAAGCAGGTGGGTTGTGTATCAGCCCTCCGAAATCTTGCTCTGAAGAACAGGAGATTACCTTCGAAAACAAATGAAAAAAAAACCCAAACAAACAAAAAAGCACCAAACACTTGAAAGTTCCCTTCAGAAAGTGTTAGAATGAGGAAAATCAGTCACTTTTAGCAACTCCTTTGCAAATGACTATGTAATTGCTAGGCCTGTAGTCTTGGTGGAAGTGTTACAAGGAGCTTTTTCCCAAACTCACTTGGTATAACTGCAGTTGAGATGCAGACAGCAGTAGGATTGTAAGATCTCCCAAAAACTTACCAATACAGGTATGTCTGTGGCACAGCAGCACTTAATGAATAAATGTTAGTGTGATATGTTGAGCTTCTCACTAATCCCTCAGCCAAGGAGCCTTGTTAGATAAGTTTCATCTATTTCTTGTATGAGTATTCCTATCTTTATCCTTCAATAGTGTGCCTGGCTTGACTTGCCCTAATTTCTGTTAATGTGAATTAGATAAATGAGTTGCAGGTTATAAATGGATCTCATCAAAACAGGGGAAACAAAAGAGCATGCATCTGAAATGTTGGCAGGCTTCCTCTTCTACTAATTGCTTTTGGAGGGCAGGGATATGCAAATGACGCTTGCACCATCCACCGAAGGAGCACTGGTGCATCTCTTGTTTACAGCTCACAAGTGGAGTATTACAGGAAGAGGACTCTCCCTGTAGAGAGGTTGAGAGGCTCAAGGTACACTCAGAAGAAGTTTAGGAGGAAATATTGTTGAGCTGCTGGAGAGCAATGTCACCTGGGAGTTACTGTCCCATGGCTCAGCTGGTGGAGCTGGAGATACAAGCACTGTGCACTGAAGCAGAGGGAGAGAAAAACTTAACCCAATCTGCATAAAGTGCCAGCAGATTCCATTAGTGCTTGGTCTGTGCTGCTGAGGCCTTGGGTTCTGCTGCAGAGGGAACAGTTGGGCAATGCCAGGGCCTCACAATTGAAGCATCTATTTCACGTCTTCCAGGTGTGTTTTCTGTAGGGAGAAGTTTGTAAGAACTTTTTTGTGAATTTACTGGTTTGTTTGTTTGACTGCCTCATCAAGGTGGGAGCTGAGCAAACTTGTGTGAAACACCTGCACTCTGCAGGTGCACTGCACAGGGCAGTCTGGAGGTGAACCCTGTGCACCCTCTGCAGCCACCTTGCTCTGTTTTATTAGATTTAATGTGGTCAAAACTGCCCTGCCAGCTGCTTTCCCGTGGTGCCTGACTCTGCTGGTCTGTTTATTTACGTGCCCTCTTTCTCTGAAGTCACTGGGTCCTGCTACTCCCTACCCATTTAACATCATTTTAGGTACTTTTCTGGTAGTTAGACAGCCTTTTCTTGTGGTCCATATCTCGTCTGCAAGACAGAATTTGTCCTGATGGAAGGAGGGGCAGGACCCCAGCCTCCATTAGTTGCATCAGTAGCTTTAGTGACTCTCTAGTAAATGGTGAGCAGAGGTTTCTTTCTGACCACACAGAGGAGAGTGGCTGGAATTCCTGGGGTGTGGGAGAGGGTGTATCTGGATTACTGGGAAACTCTCTGATTGTGGAATAGAGTGACAGCCTCTGTCTTACACATGTTCCTCTCACTATCCCATGCATTTCAGAGCTGTCTGCATGGTTCCTGCATTCAGAGCAGAAATCCCCATGTGGTCTTCACATGGAGGTGGTGGCTGAGGATCATCAAAGTGTGCTCTTTAAAGCAAAATGGTTTGTGTTGATCCAAACTCGTCACACAGGTACCTTGTTCATAGATTCTCATGCTCTTGTCTCTCAAGGCACTCTGCCAGCTGCATGTCAGGTACATTTAGCACTTCAGGGCTTTAACACAAAGGTGGTTTACAGCTTCAAAGAGGGGACAGCCTGTGAAGGTGGAAGGTTCCATGTGAGGTGAGGTGCTGTCCAAGTCGGCCTTCGAGATGTTTTGACCTCTTGTTTCAGGTCAAGTCCTCACAACCCTTCTGCAGCATCTGACCTCTCCACTTATTCCACCGCCTCCCTGATCAGTAATGAAGAACAGTTTGAAGACTATGGGGAAGGAGATGATGTGGATTTTACTCCCAGTAGCCCATGTCCCGATGATGAGACCAGAACCAACGCCTACTCTGACCTTGGCTCATCTGTATCTTCCAGGTTGCTTCTTATTCATTAACAAACAATTTTTCATTTTTATTCTTCTCTGACCATAGCAGAGTTTACACTGGTTAGATAGACTCACCTTAAAAGCAAAATATTATCAGTTCATTTCCTGCCTTCTAATTGACCGACTGCATGTAATAATAAGAGCTATAGCAAATATGTTGTTTCTGATAACCTCTGTTGGGTTCTGTTGAAATAACTGGGCTATTTTGCTTGTAGAGATTTCTTTCTATTGCAGACAATAATTCCTCAGTTCAGGGCTAGTATTGGAAGGGATTTGCTGCAAAGGAAACCAACGTCGCATTATGTACTCACCCTGGTATAGTGAAGACTTACAAGAGAGCTGTTTCCATTTAGCATTCTGATACTACAAATCCTTAGCACTAATCTGTGAGGGGAACTGCTGCAATATGTTCAGGGGGTTATTTGAAACAAGCATCCTATTGACTTGGAATGTCTTGGGAAACATAAGCAAGTAGCTGCTGTCTGTTAGGAGCTACAGATCCACAGCGGTGCACTTGCCTCTTGCATGTATCCTCAGTCTCTGCAGCTCTTATGTCTTGTGGCCAAGGCAGGTCCAGATTGTCCAGTTGTTCCCCCAGGCAAGGGAATGGGTGAGCAGGATTGGGAAGAGCTGAGCATGAGGATTCTCTAGGATTAGGATCTGCTTGGATCAATAGCCCACGGAGGTCTTGTCTTCATTGCTAGTGCAGGACAAGCTCACTGCATCCTTCTGTTCCGCATGCAGCCCCCACGTGCTCCCTGTGCTTCCAGCATTTCTGCAATCCAGCCTGGCCACGTCTCATGCATGCAGAGCCAGACCCCTCTCCACTGCCCCTTCATGATGATGGCTCGTGTCTTTCATCCCCTCTTTCCTCAGGTTTATGCAGCACTTTCCATTCTCATTCCTGGGGCTCAGTGCACATCATGCCATGATTGCTGTATTTTATTTGAGTTTATTGTCTCTTTATCATGCCAAGAGGTACTGTTATCTCCTCTATAGACCTGCGTCCACTTCTCCCTTCCTCCTCATTCCAGGGTTCCTATCATCCTATCATCTGAGGGGGTTCATGTGACTTCCTACCAGACCACTCCGTTCTTCATATTCCTGCCTTTCTCTTGGAGAGAAGACTCTTCAGGTTGCATGCCAGGCTCTAGTGGGAAGATGGGCAAGATGAGAGGGGGACATTGCTGAGGTTGAATATACTCATGTAGCTGCCTTTGCTATGTGCATCACAGTGGACCACATGTACCTTTTGCTGTTCTTTTGGTCACCACTTTCCACTGCCACCCAGAAACATCCACATCCTCTGGAAGGCCTCAGCTCAGACAGGTGGACTTGCCCTAAGAGTAGCAGTGGCCATCATCAGCTCTGACATAGATGAGCTGTGATTAGAGATGGTTCTTCAAGTCCCTCATCTGTGATTCTGACACACAGTCACGAGGAAACCTGTTGTGTGTTGGTTACTACAGCCAGTAACATCTCTCCTTTCCTGCAAACAGTGCTGGCCAAACCCCCCGAAAAATGAGACATGTTTATAACAGCGAGTTACTGGATGTTTACTGCTCACAGTGCTGCAAAAAGATAAATCTCCTCAACGATTTGGAAGCCAGGCTGAAAAACTTGAAAGCAAACAGGTAAGCAGCATATTGCACTGCTTTTGGCAATGCCCCCTTGAGATGGGACTGGCTAATAGCAGGAGGAGAGGGAGAGCAAGCCCTCTCCCTTCTGTGTCCCATTCCATCTTACACGTGTTCTTACAAAACAGTAAGAAATTTACACTTGCATATATAGCCTAAACCAAAACACTGTTCTTCATCAGCTGTTAAATATTTTTCTGATTTAAGGTGCAGACATCATTGCTAAACTCAGATATTTTAACCAATGAGCTCTTTGATTGCAGAGTGAGAATGATATTTCAAGGATTTTTTCCCAGGAAGTGGGATCTGCTGTGCTGCTTAGTGCAAATCTACAGTTAGCTCCTGCTTTCTCCAGGTGGGAAGGAGGGATCTCCAGATCCTTGGCTAATGCACATAACCTTACATACACCTCTCCTAAAGCTACTGGTCAGCAGAGGTACTTGGCTTCTCTGGGATTTTTTTTTTGTGATGTCAGCGGAACTTTGAAAAATGATAAATCCTATGGCAGAAGTTACTTTTGGAGTTCTTCGCAATTTCAGCCTTTTCCTTACGTTTCTCTCTCTGCCACTCCATTGCTCCTAAGCTATGCTGAGCACTTAGAAAGTGCTCTAACAATCACCTAGTTTTTGAAGGGAATTATTTGGTGGGATTTTAGCTCCCCCTAGAAACTGGATGTGAGTCCTGCCTGTCGGCGTAATCCTTGGGACGGAGCACGCTGCCCTGCTGCTTCTCGTGAGGCACAGCAGTGTAGAACTTGCCATGAACAATGTTCCTGCCTAGCAAGGAGTCTGCCAACATCCAGACCAGACCAGCCAGAGCTTTGGGAATTTTCTAAGGACAGTTGGATGTGCCTGACCAAGAGCTGTGTGTGTGCACACAGAGATGTGACATCCTCTTACCGAGAGATGCAGCAGGATATTTTGGTCTGGTTCCAGTGCTGTCTGCAGCAAGGGGTCTTTGTTTAGATAGCACCAGTCTCTGGCTGCACAGGGGAGCTGTAAAAATGGAAAGACCTCAGTTCCTGTGCTGAACTGGGAAGCGTTATGGGGAAGGATAAACTAACTGTTCATAAAATCATCTAAAAACTGGAAATCCAGAATGAATGTCCATCACTAACTTGGTGTCCTTTTGTGGTGTTTCTAATGTTAGTTTCTCTCTGATTTACACTGACAAATCTCTGCTACATGTAACAGTATTTGCAAATTGACTTATTAATGATCACAGTAATTTGTGGCTTCACTCATCTTTGCGTTCTTAGTAATTGCAGCTTTTGATTCAGTTGTTAAAGAATATTATTTCACAGAATCATCTCTTGAGTGGGCTAAAAAAGTCCATTATGTTTCATTGTGCAATTGAAATTGAATCAAATAAGTGTTTAATTCCTATATCATTCCTTCTGTATCCATGTAGCCCTAACAGGAAAATATCAAGCACAGCTTTTGGAAGGTAAGAGTCTACAAGTTTTGTATGAATAATTGTGGAATCAGCCATAACAATTCCATAAGTGGGAATGGGAGACGAAAGTAGGAATAATTTTAGAAAAACAAAAATGTACCAAAATAGGTTTTTAAGGGAAGGGGCCTGTGTTTGGGTATGAATGTTGCCCCTCTTACTCTTGGAGCAGGCTCCTGAACTGGAAACAGCTCTGTTAAAAATATGGATAGTTTTTGCTTCCTTGTCTGCCAAATGTATTCCTTTGTACTGCTATTTCATCAGTCCAGCTACTGCTTCTTTAACCCTCATAATGTGGGCCTTGCTGCTGTTGCCAAAATGTGAAGGAAAGCAAGAGCACCCCTTTAAAAAGGACATACAGAATTGTCATCTTCCTTTGATTGAGTGAACTCTGGGGAGGGCTGTAAGGTTCAAGGACGTTTTAGATAATCTCTAGTGTTACATATTTTGACTCTATTCTGCAGTGGGAACTGCTTGATATTTCATTTTTTCTGTTTTTTTGAAGTTCTTACTGTATGAAATTTTCTAGCTTAACTGTACCAACCTATGTGCAGTGGTGACCTTATTTTAAATTTGTAGTAAGCAAATACAATTCAGTGCATAGTGTGAATAAGACTTTGAGTATTTTTAAAATTATGTTAATGCTAGTGGCAGATCCTATCAAATGCAACAAAGAACTCACTCCATAGAACTAATGTCATTGACTGTGCTCAGTATGACTTCATTTAGCTACCAGTCTCTTGTAAGACTTGGGCTTAAACAGTTGTAATTGTCACTGAAATGATTGCACAGATTTTACTATGGATGTTCAAAGTCTGAAGCCAGACTCTTTGTCCTCCCTCCTCATCAAGCAAAATAATGATCCCTCTGATCTTTCAGACAACTCTTCCACAACAGTAACTTCAGCAGCAGTAATGGCAGCACAGAAGACTTGTTCAGAGACAGTATAGACTCCTGTGATAATGATATCACTGAAAAGGTGAGAATCTCTGTGCCCTGTGAGTAATGTACCCAGCCAAATGCTGCTGGAGCCCAGCATCAGGGGATCAAGATCTTGCTCAGAATTACCCATGATCTGAAGAAGCCTATTTCAAAATGTCCTTGATGTTCCATTACTATTACAACTTTGCTTGGCAGTAGCACAAGAACTGAGCAAGCAGTGATCTAGGCATTGTGTTAGGACTTCTTTATGGTGTATTTGCAGTGATCACCTTCAAGGAACATGCAGGGTCTGGGGAACTCAGAATTGTGGAGCTTAATTTTGTTGCTGGCTTTGCAGAGAAATATACCCCCTTTTAAAATGGTAGAGTAGCTAAATGCCAGTTAGGAACAGTGAAAGGGTGTTTGAAGAGAGATTCAAACTCAGTCTTTTTTGCTTGTCCTTCCAGGTAACGTACCTAGAGAAGAAGGTGACAGAACTGGAGAATGATAGCCTGACAAATGGTGACCTGAAGAGCAAACTGAAACAAGAGAACACACAGCTGGTTCACAGGTAACAAAGCACAGAGCCAGGTCTGCTCACCAGCACAGTTGTGGGGAAGGAATATTTCTACCTCTAGAGTATGATCAAGTCTTCTTCCTTAATGCTGACAGATGAAATAAGGCTTCATCTGAGAAGTCCAGGTGGAATAGGGCTGCCTTGCTGAATTTTCAGCAAGAGGCCTGCAGACAAGTGTTTTTGACAGAGTGTTACTGACTTGAACAGAAAAAACTCTTTTGCTGTAAGAGAGGTTACCCCTGGTGGTTGGGGTTTTTTCCTTGCATGTAGCAAGAGCAGAAGGCTGGGTCTTATCTCAGCTTCATGAGACTGAAGGAATACTAGATGAACTGATACTACTTAATTCTGTGTTTATTAGTAAATATGAGAGATGCTGGGAGAGGTTAAATGCCAAAATAGATGGTGAATTAGAATGAAACAAAGGAGTAGGCAGGAAAGAGAGAGGCAATGAATTTGCTTCTGAAGCTGTTACTGAAATGAGATCCTATTTCCTTAGAGTTCATGAGCTAGAGGAATTACTGAAAGACCAAGAAACTTCAGCAGAACAGACTCTGGAAGAAGAGATAAAGAGACATAGAGAAGCTTACAGCAAGTATGAAAAAGAGAAAGGCACTGAAATTGAACTGCTAAATACAAGGTAACAAACATCTTGGTGTCCCTCTGAACAGGGCAAAAGGTCTTCTTTTCTTCGTTTTTACTTTGCTTGTAAATGTAGGCTGTTCTGCAGCAGGCAGTGCACAGATGGTGGCAGGTTGGCAGCTCTGTGGAGTAGCTCTGCAGTCACATGTCTAATGCCCAAAAGCTTGGAGGATGCTTTACATTAATGCTTTAATCCACGTGGCCCATGTACACAGCTTAACTGGATATTTGGCACAGATTCAAGGAGGGAATTGTGACCAGTTCTAGCAAACGTTTGTGCCTGCATTTGTTTTTTACAACTTATGTTTTTTCATCTACCTGTTGTTAGGAGCACAAGAATGTGGGGGTCACTGTAGCATTTTGGGCCTTAGAACAAGCAAAAATGCATGTTAAAAAGTACTATGATTAGAAAGATTTTCCCTGTTTGGTCTTTGTATCAAGTTGCAAGTGGGATGGCTTTTTAGAGCATGCTATTGTGCATATCTATGTTCTTGACGAGGTATTTGCTGTAAGATTTTTGTTACTAACACAGGGTTCAGCAACTGGAAGAAGAAAATGGTGATCTGAAAAGCACTGTCACACGGCTGAAATCCCAAACAGAGAGATTGGATGAGGTAACAAAATTCCTGAGTCCTTGAGCAATTTAACAGCAGTTTGTGTAAGAGCAAACTCTTACAGTGCTTGGCTCAGCTTCTTAAATTTTCCTTCCCTAAAGAAGATTATTAATGAAAATGGAGCATTGGTCACCTTTAGGGGCAGGAACATCCTGAGACACAAGGCAGTTCATGGCCAGCTGTGTCTGTAGGTTCCTGCTGTGAAGCTGAGCTGTGTCCTGCTCTTGGCAGCCTGTTCTGAAGTGCCCCGTTCGTTCCAGGAGAGGCAGCGCATGTCGGATAGACTGGAGGACACAAGTCTGCGACTGAAGGATGAGATGGATTTGTACAAGAGGATGATGGACAAGCTGCGGCAGAACAGGCTGGAATTCAACAAGGAGAGGGAAGCCACACAAGAGGTAAGTGTGAAGAGGGATGTAAGACCAGGCAGTTTCATATCACCTGTATGGAAGCCCTGGAGAGAAGGAATGGGCAGACAGGATGAGCACTGAGAACACCATATCCAGTGAAGCTGTTGCTGGATTGTGTTTCTGTAGGAAGGGTGCCCACAGAGCAATGAATGCTGCAAGAATACTTAAAAAGTGCCAATCTCTGACCCAAAGGGCTTACAGCTCTTGGAGAGGTGTGTGCCCTAATGTTTCCCTCTGTTTGCAAGAGAAATTATGCTTCTCGTGCATGAAGCTTAGTGACCACAGCCATTGCCAGCTCTGGGGCCATTTAGGGGACCTGTGCTTGCAAAGGAAGAGGAAGAGGCTGTGGTGTAGGACTGTGGCCTCAGCCAGGCTCAGGAAGTGCTTCTGCTGGAGTAGAGGGGGCTGTTTGCAGGGAGGGCTGCACAGACAGGGCCTGTTTGCTGCCCACAGCTCATCGAAGACCTGCGGAAGGAGCTGGAGCACCTGCAGCTCTACAAGCTGGAATGTGAGCGTCCTGGACGCGGGAGAAGCTCTTCCTCCAGCCTGAGTGAATTCAATGCCAAAACCAGAGAGGTGGAAATGGAGCATGAAATAAAACGGCTGAAGCAGGTGAGCAGGGAAGGCCTCTCAATCCACATCAAATGTACAGGAATACCTTGAAAAATGCAAGCCCCAGTACTCTGCCTTGAGATTTTGTCCCCCCTTTCTCACACAAGCACAAGAACCTCGTTGCATCCGTGCAGAACTTCTTTGCACTGGTGATGTAAATTGTGCCCCAGGACAATTCAGGCAGGGAGGCCTTGTCACTGGAGGTAAGAGTTGCTGTCAGCTTCACCCTCGCTGTGTCATCCAAGGTACCTGTGATGTTAAAATATTTTTTTAATGAAAGAAGAATTTAAAAAACAATGTCTTTTCATCCTTGAATAGGAGAATCAGAAACTTCGTGACCAAAATGATGATCTTAATGGACAGATTCTAAGCCTCAGTCTTTATGAAGCTAAAAATCTCTTTGCAACGCAAACAAAAGCCCAGTCACTGGCTGCTGAAATCGATTCTGCATCGAGAGATGAGGTAATGTCCTTTTCTAATCAGATACTACATCCAAGAATATGCAATTTTCAATGTAATTGACTGTTGAGGTTGAACTATCTGAAGTTGACAAATGAACAGCAGAAAATTCTGCTTTGCGAAGAGTTCCAGGCTGTTAGAAGATTACCTTAAATCTAACACTATTTTGGTATCCTTATAGCTCTCCCATTTTTTTCTCAAAAGAATTTGAATTATTAGGATCACAGTGAACTGTTTTGCAGTTCTGACATCTTGTACCTTGCAGAGTAATGTGAAAGTATGATATTAATTTCATACAAAAATGGCTATTGCTCATTACTTTAATTTTTACTTTCTGTTCTAGATTTAGGTCTATGTTACTTCAGTAACAAGGTCTCATTTATATATTTGAGCTATATATTCCCTGTAGCAGAGCTGAATTCTTGGAGAAAGTAACTTCTGTGCAAATAATAACTTGGTAATGTTTGAAAGATATTCTGGGAAACCCGTTTGTATGTGGGCTGAGTCCAGCTGGTGTAGCTTCCTCTGAGCTCCAGGACAGATTGTGAGATCAGGCCAGTGGATACATGAGAGCTCCCAGGGAAGAAGACAGGTTAGTGGTGAAGGAGATCAAAGGAATTGTTTGTCCTTGATGCTCTATCTTTTCCAGACAGAACTTCCCATTTCTTCATCAAGAAAAGTTGTCAGACAGAAAAGTCCTTTTTACCCAGTTAGTACTGGACTGACCTGTCAGTCTTAGCTCCTGGGCAGGCCCTTGAAGTGAAGGCCCTTGAATTATATATTTGAGAACTTAATTTCTTGCTGAACCAGAGCACTGTGAAGAAAGGCTGTTTACTTGTAGAGCTCTAATTAGGTAAAAGCAAACTGGCTTTTGCTATTGTCAAGAAAAATCTGACTTTGTCCCTCTCAATCTCGTGGCTCTGGCTCATGTGAGGAGTATCCAGCACTCCCCCTTTAAAGAAGAAAGTACCTGAAAGCTGTGGCCCAGACTCAGCAAAACCTCACAGACCTGCACAAACTGTTCCCATTGTGCCATTTTTCCTGCATGATCAGAACAAAGGTAACAATCTGCAGATTCAGGGTGGGACTTCTGTGAAGCCCTATGAAAATGGACAGGCAAGTAACATGAGCTTTAGGAGGATCGGGGGCTCTGACATGCCTCGACAGCTTTTTCAGTTTGGCATTAAACATTGGGATAAAAAGCAAAGCAGTCTTCATCTGTAGAGAGGTTGAGGGGCCTTCTACAGCCCAAAAATCTGGTGAAACACATGTATTTAATACAGAACATGGAATAGCAGGTGGGTTGTTCTTGTGGAGTTTTGTGGAGTATGTAGTGGGGTTTTTTTGAGAGAGAGTATGCATGTGATCCAGAGGAAGCACATAATTTTCCTGGTGCAAAACACTGAAATATTTGTTCTGTTCAGCAGCCTTTCATGCAAACACCTTTAGATTTCAGTAGTTATGAAAAAAATTGAGTATCTTGAAGCTCTTGCTCTGAGATGAAGCAGTTGATCCATGGTATGATGCAGGATGGATTGGCATGTTAGGTGGGGAGCTTGTTTCAAATGACCTGCCAGAAGATCCCTGGAGATGACTGTTCACCACCTTCTTTGATAGCAAAGATCTGTAACATACAGAATTGTTTCTAATACAGATACAGGGAGGAGCTGGAGTTAGAAAACCTGTCACAAAAGGAATTGGTGATCCTGAGCAGGCACTGGTCTCTCACTTGTCTCAGTTTCAGGCTGCTACATAAACTACTGAGAATATTTCAGGAGTAACTTGGAAATGTTGTGTTTTAGCTCATGGAAGCCCTCAAAGAACAGGAAGAGATAAATTACAGATTGCGACAGTATATGGACAAGATAATTTTGGCAATCCTGGACCACAATCCATCTATCTTGGAAATAAAGAATTGAAGAGAATATGAGAAGGAAAAGCAGCAACTGCCTGATATTTCTGCACATGCCACTGGATCTGAGCAGCACTCTGATACTGTAAATGAATCTATAAATTATATAATACACACTAGGTGTGAGTGTGGGTGCACGGGTGTGTTTATATGATGTTTGGTACACTGTTATTTGTCATTGAATTGGCTTGGTTAGACTTTTTCCATGCACTTTCAATACCTGTGATGAGATGGATACTGTATATTAATGTAATAACGATATAACTGGATCATGCTGTTTTAGATACTGGACAAAATGACTCTACCTCTAGTTGTAAAGGTAAAAATAGACAATGGAAACATATGGATGTGGCCCTAACTTTAGGAGCAAGAATGTTTTTCTTTGTTCTTCCCAGAATTTGGGTACCACCAGCCAATTGACATACCCAGGTTCAGTTCCTGACTGGTGCTGACTGTGTAATTTCCTATTTGATTTAGTTTTAGTACTTAAACCACACATCAGATTAAACAAAAACCAAACAAAAACACAACAAAAACCCACAAAATTTGGGAGAAGACACAAAGTAAATGGGAAGGAAAGGAAGATACTGCAGAATTTTTGCTGCTTATGAAAAATCACCATCCATTTGTTTGCCACTGTCAACACAAAGTGTTTTTCATTTAAGATCACTTTGGAGCCTGCTTTCAGATGCTCTGAGCCTGCTCTCTATCTAGTGTGTGTGCATGTGTGTTTTTTTATGCCAGGGTTCCTGTAGCATTGAGGCAAAGAGGTTTCAAATCTGTTCCCCTATTTTCAGGGGTATATTATGGGCCATTAAGATGAATTCTGGGATTCTTCCCCTTCCCCTCACCCTGATTTTAAAGATTTCACTGAAGGAACACATTCCAGTTCTTAAAAAAAAAAAGAAAAAAAAAAGAAACAGAACAAAAAATATTTGCATGAAACATCTCACCTTAGGGGGAGGAGGGGACCAGCCCTCGACGTGACGTGCTGAGTTGCTTTCCCACCCCAGACAGCTGCACTCCTTTGAGAATGGCATTTTCTGGGTAGGCTGTGCAGGGGAACAGCTGGTTCCTGGCACAGTGATACAGAGTGGCTTCTACCTAAGGGGCAGGAAAAAGAAAAAGAGCTTCATCTTGCAGGAGTTGCCAGTCCAGACTGAGCACACACGTGCATATCCAAAGCTCTGAGTAGGGAGCACATCCCAGTTTAGATGAGCAGTTGTGCAGGTGCTTAACTTTAAGCGTGTGCTGCATCTGCTCATGGATGTCAGTGGGACAGAACATTAAGCTTTAAAGCTGAGCCTATGCTTAAATGCTGCCTTAAATAGGGGTGACTTCAACATGTGCCTGTGTTCTCCAGAGCTGGATCTATACTGTAGGGCTAGGATGTTTTTAATTAATAATGTAGCTTATATAAGGAGCTTATGGAATTGTTTGGATAGTTGAATGCTAAAAGCAAATTTTATTCCATGCACTTTTTTTAAACGTAAAAATTTCACACTTTTGATTCACACCAACTGGCACAGAAAACTCAGCCGGAGTATCTGGCTTTCCCCAGTGCATAGAGATGTTTCCTCTATTGAATACACTTCCCAGAAGAATGTTACAGTAGCAATGACTGTGCTTTTCTGTGTATTTCTTGCTGTTGGCAGTGTCTTGCCCCTAGTATTCTCTTGATGTATCTCGGTATGTATATGTGATGCATTTTTCCTGAATTTGAATACATAAAACTGTATTCATTTAGGGATGTAAATATATATTTTTGTTCTGCAATCTCTGTGCTCTTGCCTTCAGTGATGTGTTACTGGAGTGATGGGAAGCAGGGGATGTACTGAAGTCAGGCTTTCTTGAAGGCAAGAAAATAAAACCAGTTTGTTTCTGTGTATCTGCATAGGCAGGTGTAAAGTAAGTGGAAAGAGAGAGGAACCAGAGGAATGACTGAGGGACACAACACCCCAGTGCACAAAGGTTGCAGTGCTCTGGGAGAAATGGGACACTCTGGTTCAAACAGTCATGTCACAGGGCTGGCTTCCTGAGGCTCTGGAGTAATCTGGAGAATTTAAAGACCACTCCTTTGCCACCTGGGAATGGTGTAGGATGCAACACTGCAGCAGCTTCTGCTTGTTTAGAAAGTAGGTGGAACCCCATGGAAACCCCACACATCCACCTTTCCCACCTGCTGCTGCTTCTGGATGTGCTGCCCAGAAGGTGGGAGAGAAACAGTTCAGCGAGCTCGGTGCTTCCTGCCTGCAGGACTCCTCACTTGCACTTTAGTGATGGCATTTCCCTCTGCCTGGTGCTGTTTGTGGGTAGTGCCAGGGACTTTATCCTTTTTGCAAGCCACAGAGAACTCTTCTGCACTGTCAGGAGGCTGTGCAAACCTGTTGTGACCAGCAGGGCTGGGTGACACAGCAGCCCTGCTTCTGGAGCTGACTGTTGCACTGCTTCCTGCTCTCAGGCAGTGGATTTCAGTTAGAGTGAAGCTGTTGCAGCTGAGGCTGGTGACTGAATGTTTTCCCCTAATTATTTTTAAGTAAACTGGACTCAGCTTCAAAATTTGTATGATCTAAAGCCCATTCCCATTAGGGTGGAACATCAGCAAATGCTGAGGACTGTTGCACTGAAAGCAAAGCTTGTAGACTTGAACAGAAGACATTACTATAAGGAGAGCCAAGTTTTTTGCAGTTTCTGTGATTATTATATGTAGGAGGTGAACAGTCACTAGTAGTGACATGTAGTCACCGAATCTGGCTGATATCCCAAAAGGAATGTTCTAGCCAAGGTTACTCAGCAGTGGAAATTTCTTAAAACTTGCAGGACTTCTTGTTCAGCTCTGTATCCAGCTGTGTAAGTATTTAGAAACTCTTCCTTGTTCCAGTGTTTGAAGAGATGTCTTACCACCATGTTGGTGTTGTTTGTAGCTGTGTTTTATTGTGTAAAGGAGGTATCCTTCTGCTCCTGTGGGGCCCTTGGTGTGATACTGCCATCTGTTACTGTGGAAGTCATATCCAGATAATTACTGTGTTTGACAAATAATGTGAGTTGGAGGTGGGAGAGGCATTTCACTGGCAGATATATTTTCCTCTAAGGTATCCACCTTTAAAAATACTAATTAGCAATTGCATTCTTAGACTGAGTAACTGCAGATATTAGACCAACTCATCTTGCAACTCCAGCCCTGGAGAACCCTTTTGTCCCAGAAAAGAAGTCTGTGTTTTATGACATACAGGTAATTTGGTCATAAAGGATCACTTGATGGCTCACTGGGGCAGGGAGAAGAGTAATCTGATACCAGTGTTGCAGAGAGTGCATATTTTGATCAAGTGTCAGACACTGGCAGAACAGACAGGAGATAGTGTCTCCCCATTTGCAACAACTTTGCTGTCTGTTCTCTGATAAATTTCTTACTTCTTTGCTGTGGACATCCTTTGTGCTCTCAGGCTGGCCAGGAAAGTACAGCCTGCCTCTGTCAGTGTTCCTGTTGGTGGAACAAGGGCCTCCCTCCCCTGGGTAGATCACTTCAGACACAGAAATGGGGTATCATCTCCTTCTAGCAATACACAGATGCAGTAAACACTCCAGTGTCAAACCCAAGGTTATATTTAACCTTTGGGAAAGCACACAATCCCAGTTACTGTCTCTTGATCTGTTCCTTGGTTCATTTGACCTTAGATTCTGAAAAGCTAAATGATATTCTGGTCAAACCTGTTGCAAACCACTACAAGTATTTCTGGAGAGTGGAAAAAAAAAGACTGGCTTTTGGCTAGAAGCTGCCCTGGGTCAGGCTAATTCCACACAAGGTTCTGCAGAAAAATAACCTCTTTCAAAACTTGCACTTAAAGAGTACCTGAAATGTAGTCTCTCACAATTTTTCTGGTATTGGCTGCTTCCCTCCAGACTTCAGTCTTCAGCTGCTGCCTAGTTTTGATTTCAGAATGATGCTGGTTCAAAACCGCTTTGATATCAAAAGACGATTTTTCAGCTTTTTGAATGGCTTCTGTTGAAGACTGAAGCTGTTAAAGAATTTTTCTTTAAGTGCAACATTGATGAACTGTAACTATCCCATCTATTTTTAAGGAATTTTAAATATGCAAATATGTAGGAAGTTTCAAAGAAACCCAGCATCCAATAGAACTTTTGTTGCCAACTTTCCTTTCACGGTCTTTGGGAAAAATTCAGATAGTTCTCAGCCAGCTCTGTAGGGAGTTGAACACAGCATTATTAATTCTCAAAGATGTGTATCAACAAATATTTTGCTGTCTGAGTGCAGCAATGCTCCATTTACTTTGGTAGAACTGCATTGCTCTCCAGAGAGGATCTAGACCGACAGTATTTAGGCTCCCTAATCTGGCTTGTAAATGAGGGCTTGGAAGCTGATATATAAACACACACTGTGGGCTGCTACATGAGGCACTGCTCACTGCTCTGTGCATCATAGTGCCCGTGACATGCGAGGAGTCTAAGAACTAGAATTTACAAATAAAAGAATGGGTTTTTTACATTCTTTAATGGCAGTGAATATGCAGTGGTTTTCTCTTAAAACAAATACTGTATGGTGTGGTCTGAGGGGTTTTTTTCCAAGGAAGGAAGGAAGTAGCAGCTGATCAAACACTTGCCAAATCAGTGGCTTGGCTTATACTGATTTCAGTGAAAACTTGACTCAGACTTTAACTGAGCAGCTCCTACTGTAAGCAGCAATGCTCATATTCTTGTCATTTGTTACTCAAGAAACATTGTCAAGAAGTCATGACTCGTTGGTTTTAGACAACATAATACGACAGTTCTGACATTTTGTTCCTTTGCATCTCAGTGTTTTTGAATTCCAAATAATGATCCTAGGAGCAGTTTGCTGTTTAGTCATGCATGGGTTTCTAGTTAATGAAGCTCTGCATGTGGCTTTAGAGTTTGATGAAGATTACAGTCAGTGCTGGGTCTGAATCCTGTCATTCTGCATAATGCACTGGGAGTTGGTCTGGTGTGCAAGAGAGTTGTGTCTTTCTGGCGCCTCAGCATTCTGTTGACATTTACATTCTTGGTCTTGTCCCCAGCCACCATTAGGTGTCTGTGTGCCTTGGGGCAGCACTTTGAGCAGATGGGAGGGACAAATTCAATATTCTTGGCTTCAGTGTGACCTTAGCTACCAAGGCAGAATTTCAGTCCTGTCTTTATACCAGGCCAGTCCTGTCCTTGCCTTTTTTGTGGTTGTGTCCCATGTACGTGCCGAAACGTCGTAGCTGGTTCTCATGGCATACAAGCAGGTACTGTGAGTAAAGCTGAAGGTGATCCAGGTGAGGGATCCCTGGGATGTGTCTGTTCTGTGCAGGTGTCCCACTGCGCGCTCAGGGCTGCAGCTCAGCGTGGCCAGCACGTCGCAGAGGGCACGGCACAGCCCGTGGGGATCCGCAGGCACGATCTGCAGGCAGGGCCACGCTACCGCAGCCTGCCACAGCGTGGAGCCAGCTGAGGCTCCCGGTGCTCTCGGCACCCGCGCTTCAGCTTGCTGGCTTCAGTCGGGGCTTTCGTTCGGCTGCAAGAGCAGTACCTGCCCAAACATACTGTTAGACAGATTGTTTTTACTTAAACTTTAAACCTAGTGAAAACATTAACAAACACGGGCTGCTGCAGTGTAACTTGGACACCTTAGCCCTGGAATGGAGGTGCTGTGACACCTGAGCTGTCAGCTTTGCTGTCACTGTTCTGGCACAGGGATACCCTGGAAGCCCCTCGGAGCCCCCGTGAGGGGTGGCAGGTGACTGTTCTGGGGGACATCTGTGCAGGGGCAAGGGGGCTGCAGACACCCCTCCTCCCAGCGGTGAACTCGCACTCCCCAGCACCAGCCCTGATTTATTTACTACCTTATCCGTAGCTAAATTATTCTGACTTTGGAGAAAGGACATCAGAAGGAGAACCAAGAATTTAGTATCCTGTGAATACTTCAGTACACTACAGGGCAGTAAATGTTGCACTGATATATATTTAAATGCTGAGACATTTTGAGAATTACTGTAAAATCAGTTGTGAGAGCCATTTGTTTTTCTCTGTTGCACAGACTAGTCACTTTTTTTGCATGGTTACATATTTTAGTACTTGTGCCTTTTACTTCTCTGTTGTGAGGATACATTTTATTTTCGCATTTTATCATCTGGTTTTGGACACTTTTTATATACACTTCTTTAATCATCTGGTTTCTTGTAATGTACATGTGTATATATAAAATAGATCAGATTTGTATTCATGTGCCTCCGAGATGTAAAAAATATTCATTTTGTACAGGTTTTTTTAGAAGCACTAGGTCATGGTCTAAATTACGTAGCAAATGAAATTTAACATAATTAGCAGTTCTTTGTCTTCTTTTAGGAATGTTGTGTCAGATGGTTGGTCTCTTGTAAGGCAATGTCACACACACTCTGCAGATTTATTGTTTTAGTATTGTTTTGAGACCAATTCTATCCACTTGTTGGCTTAAGTTAATTCAAAATAATAAAACACTTAATTAAATGTTACAGTCCTGACTTGGTGATTATAGTTTTTATTTCCATTAAAGCAAATTTGCTTCCTTTTATACTTGAAATGGGCACCAGACCAAAACCTCATTTGAACACATTGCCCATTTCAGGTTAATTTCTGTTCTGGGATTTTTTTTGTGGGATCAGGCAGGTGATTTACTTTGACCATCGAAATGGAAAAAGAAATAGCGTTACCAATTGATAGACTCTCCATCTTAGAGTGCCTAAAATGCTTTAGTTACTCCTTGTCTTCCCTGCCTGGCTTCT